TTCATTGTGTAATTTACTGACCATGTATGCATGGCCTCACATAACAAACTAGCTGGGTGGCCCGCGCAATTCTGCGGCTAGTACCTAAACAAAATCATATATTTTTTTACTATGATTTTTCTTAAAATTTATTAAATAGCTATCTCATTGTCTTAGACTTTGAAAGACCAAATTTTATCATCCTCGTGTTTCTAATTATATAGTTTTTAAAAGTCACACCAGTTGCTACCCCTTATGCCATCTTCTTCTTTATTTGCTTGCTCGATCTACTACTATTTTCTATCCATTCTTCTTGTAACCTTTATAGTTTTTAGAGTTTATTGTCACGTTGGGTTTCGTTTTTATAATTTCTAGATGTCCCGTCAAACGTTACCATTATATTCCTTTACGGCCCATCCACTGTCTCTTTTCTTTATTGTCATTGAGATTTTAAAAATCGAACATAATTATCGTTTGGGTTCATTTTTTATTTTCTAGAAGCCCCGCCAAACCGTCAACGGTTTTGCCATTATACTCCTCTACGGCTCGCCCGCTGCCTCCCTTCTTTATTGTCATTGAGATTTTAAAATCGAACATGATTATCATTGGTTTTTTTTTTACTTTTTAGAAGTTCCGAACCATTAAAAATTGGACTAGTAGTTTCATTTTTTATAATTTTTAGAAGTCCCATCAAATGATGCCACTATGCCCCTCTATAGCCCGTTCGCTGCCTACTCTTTATTGTCATTATGATTTTAAAAATCGAACATAACCATCGTTGGAATTTATTTTTTATTTTCTAGAAGTCCAGTTAACCGTCGGCGGCTCTGTAACTATACTCTTATACACCCCGCCCGCTGCTTCTCCTTTTTATTGTCATTGAGATTTTAAAAATCGAATATGATTATCAATGGGTTTTTTTTTTTTACTTTCTAGAAGTCCTGGCAACCGCCTTACTCGTTTGCTTCACGGCCTGCCTGACGTCCCTCCTTTTAATCATCATTAGGATTCGATTTGGTGTTTTATTAACAGTTTTTATATGTCGTATCAACCGCTACCACTCTACTCCTTTATAGTCCTGTTACTTAATTTATCTCGTCATGTGTTTTAAATGGTCTTTTCTTTCAATAGTCTTTATTTTTATCATAAATTTTAGTTATTTATAAATTGTATTCCGAATTGAAATCTTATTTTTATTTTTCTAATTTCAGAATTGTTTTTGAAAAAAATTAGTTAATATCGTATTGTGTTCTTATTGTTTTTATTTTTTATTTTCAATTTTAGTTATTTCAAAATTGTATTCCTACTTGAACTCTTTTTTATTTTTTTCTAATTTTGGATATTATTTTATTTTTTATTCTAAATTTTAATTAAACTCGTATTGGGTTTTCATATGGATTATTCTTTCAATATTGCTTATTTTTAATTCCGAATTTCAGCTAATTTTAAATTGTATTCCTACTTAAACTCTTCTTTTATTTTTCTTTTGCTAATTTCGGATTTATTTTTATTTTTATTCTGAATTTTAATTAATCTCGTATTGGTTTCTTACATGGACTCTTCTTTTAATATTTCTTATTTTTAGTTTCGAATTTAAGCTAATTTTAAATTGTATTTCTACTTGAACTATTCTTTTATTTTCTTTTGTTAATTTCGGATTTATTTTTATTCTTATTCCAAATTTTAATTAATTTCGTATTGGGTTCTTTTAATATTCCTTATTTTTAATTCCGAATTTCAGCTAATTTTAAATTGTACCTCTAATTGGACTCTCCTTTCCTTTTTAATTTTGGATTTTATTTTATTTTTATTTCGAATTTTGATTAATCTTGTATTGGATTCTTATATGGAAACTTCTTTCAATATTGCTTATTCTTAATTCCGAATTTCAGCTATTTTTAAATTGTACTTCTATTTGGTCTCTCCTTTTTCTTTTTCTTTCTTTCTTTTCCTCCGATTAATGTGGGAATTTCTAGCCCCCACAGTGAATGTGGTGCCTCCTTTCAAGGCTGTTTTAATAATATAATAGATACATAGATAGATGGATAGATAGATACTCCCTCCATACTCATAAATAAAGTTGTTTAGGACATCGATACGGTCTCCAAAACACAACTTGACTTCGTATTTCTATAAAAGTATTCATTGAAAAGTGATATATGTATACTTTTATGAAAATATTTTTCAAGACAAATCTATTCATATAACTTTTACATTTTCAAACTCAACAACTCGAGAGTTATTCATGATTTATATTTCCAAGGTTTAACTTAAACATTGTCCTAAACAACTTTCTTTACGAGTATAACATGCCGTCTTCCATGTACTATTAATTAATGCCAAAACCTTAGGCAGGCTGCTAGACAACGTCTACGGATAAGAGATCTATATTATTCTCACCATGCAAATTCACAATGTGCGTATAATAAACCAATTAGGAAAAGCAATGAAGCACGTACGGAGACTATAGAAACCAATTAGGAAAAGGAAGGAAGCATTGTGTAACCGTCGAATCAGCTTACTAGTTGTCACACATGCATGAAGGACAGGAAGAGTTGTGTGCACTCATAAGCATTAGTACACCGAACAAGTCATCAGCAAATAATATCGAATATAATAATATATGGCAGCGCATCCAAATAATCTTATCAAGTATTACTCCAATTAAAGATGGCAGTTAATATATATGGAATTTTTTTAGATTGGACCATAGCAATCTTTTCTGAACAGAGATAATTAAATCTTGCAAGGACACAACCGACACCTCCCCAGCTGATTTCCAAGATCTAAACTGTTACGCCAACCGGTCGATGTGATGTGACAATTGATCAATGGACTACGTGTAGCGTTCGATTGAAAAAGTGGTCGCGGAGCCCCTCCTGCGTGTTAGATTTCACGTTGTCAACAAACGAACATAAACACGCACGAACACATTACACAAGGGAACGTGAAAGTGGAGGGGCTATAAACCGTACACTGCTGCCTTCTCTCTCTTAAAAGTCTTTCTTTTTCTCTCAACCCCTCTACTGTGTTTATATCCATAATAAGATAGTCATATAAGGATACATACATGCATATTTGGTATAAGGTTACTTCATCCTTAAAAAAACTGAAGAATAGAAGGAGGAGGCGGTACCGTGATCCTCACGATCACGGCGACTACCTCATGGTCGCTACAAATCCGACTCCTTCGGGAGATCGGTTTCATAATAAAAACCCTTTTTACTTCCAGTTGGGAACCCCCTTTAGTCCCGGGTTTCTAACCGGGAGTAGCAATCCGGGACTAAAGATGTGCATCTTTAGTCCCGGTTGAAATAACGGGGACTAAAGATGAATCTTTAGTCCCGGTTGGTAATACCAACCGCGACTAAAGATAGAGTATCTTTAGTCCCGGTTGTTACCAACCGGAACTAAAGAGGATAGCCAGGTTTTTTTTCCTTTTTTATTTTCTCCCAAATCTAGGTGGTATGTATATCCTTTTTTATTTTCTCCCGAATATGCGTGGTATGCATATCCCAAATCGAAGTAAGATCCCAAGTCCACATCACAAATTTTAAAGTTCTAAAAAATTATATCAGAAATCCTAAAAATAATTACACACAAATCAAATTACATCACAAGTTTCTACAAAATTCATCACAAATACATCACAAGTTCACATCACACACAAATCAAATTCATCACATGATCCTGCAATAAATCATAAATTCTTAAAAAAAAGGAGCCAGCCGGCCGCTGCCGCCTAGCCTCCACGCCGGCCGGCCGGCCACCACCGCGCCACCCGCCCGCTGCCGCGCCGCCGCGCCGCCTCCCCTCCACGCCGGCCGGCCCCCGACGCCGCGCCGCCTCCCCTCAGCACCGGCCGGTCCCCGCGCCGCCACGGCGGCCCTCCGCGTTGCTGCCCACCATCGCGCCGGCTTCCCCTCCGCGCCGGCCGCTGGCCGCCGCACCGCCACGCTGGCTGCCACCCGGCCTTCTCTCGCTCCGATCCAAGCGGCTGGCCTCTCTCGCTCCGATCCAAGCGAGCTAAGGAAGAAGAACTAAGGAAGAAGGAAGAAGAAAGGATAAAGATATGGAGTTAGAGAGGAAAAAAGAGATAGAGAAAGAGTTCGTTGTGTGGATGGGAAAAGAGGATAAGTAATAGGGATTATATAGTACGTGTTGATTTTTATTCCCGGTTAGTAACACCAACCGGGAATAAAGTAAGATACCAACCGGGACTAAAGATCCTAGCCGCCTGACACGGTCTGACATATAGACAACCCCAACCGGGAATAAATATCATCTAGTCCTGTTATGCTTATAAACCGGGACTATTGTGGATTTGAGTCGACCGACTAAAGATGGTTTCTCCATCAGTGATACTGGGATCCCGATCGACGGTGTTTGCCCCGAAGCTTCGCATTGATGTTTAGCGAGAAATCGCGTTCTGGATGCCGATGGATCGGTTCGCATGGATAACAGGAGGTCTCGCATACACCTGATTTCGTGTCCGGCGTCGGGCAAGCCATTAAGACCAGTTCCAGTGTCTGGCGACGGGCTCGTGTTGGAGTTGCCCCAACCATATGAATGAGGCATCCACCTGTGAGCAGCTTGACAGTGTGCATTATCCTTAGTTGGTAGGAAAACCGGAAGTAATACTGCATTTGTTATCTCTTACCCTATCTGTCTCAAAGAAAGACCATTCCTAGCAATGAATCTGACACACTAGGATTGTGTTTTCTTTGGGATGGAGTAGTATGCTTTTAAGTAAAGCTGGGCGTGATGCGTTTTCTCTAAAAGAAAAATACTGCACTTGTTATTAAAAAGAGAATGTTAAAACACAAGTAAGGGTGCAAGCCTCCTCCATGCGTATCTCTTAACGAATGCTTTTAATTTTTAAACATAAATACACATCGTAATTTTGCAACCTTGGTTTTGTTTTATTTTTCAGAAAATAATAAGCTTAATATTGGTTTTGACTGACAATATAAAGTTATTGATGATATAGTGGAACAATAAATAAAACGTGAAGTGGGACATGGAATCAAACATGTAAACCGTTTATTGCACCTTTAATTTGGAACAAACACAATCATGGTACGTACAATTACATTGGTCAACCAATTGGCCAATTATTAAGCTGGATGCGCGTGATCATAATAGATCCTTGATCACACATCCAAATTGAACACATGTACATTCTTTTTTCCATCCTCTTCTCCTTGATTAATTAAGCTGGACTACTAATATTTCTCACAAATGCAAGCGCGCTTAATTAACTATGCACAAATAAATCTCTCTCATTTTGCTAATAATAACAACAATAATAATCGACACATACGTAATTAATTATGTTTGACATGATGACGTTGGTTACTTCAATTTTAAACTAACCAACGTCATACATGAAGTGATAATTAATTGACCCTTCTGCAGTTGGTCCGGACCTCACCCAGGGAAGGGTCAGTGACAGGGGAGAGGTTGCCCATGTTGATCATGGACTGCGCGAAGCTGCGGAAGAAGGCGGCCTGGCTGGTGGCGAAGCGGTCGACGATGGGCGCCGTCGTCCCGGTCGCCTCCGGCGCCGACTTGAGCTCCTGGTCCGACTGGAGGAAGCCGCGGTTGACCTCGATGTTGGTGTAGTAGTGGTTGTCGAAGGTGTCCGGCGTCGTCGGGTCCAGGTCGTTGAGCGCCGCCGGCGGCCCGTTGGGCGGGCACCGCTGCGACAGGAAGCTCCGGTAGGCGGCGTCCATGGTGGGGTCCGGCCTCCCCGTGTTGCTGAAGTTGTACAGCCTGTCCGTCACGAACTGGCACTGCACCCTCCCGAACGTGTGCCCACCTGCATTTCGCATTATTGTCGTCGTCGTCAGCTCCGGCGGGCATGACGGCAGAACTGAAATTGAGTTCGCCGGAGAAGTGATACGAGTACCTGAGAGGGCGACGAGGTCGACGTCGTTGAGGTTGAGGGCGGCGAACTTTTGGCGGAGGACGGTGAGGTTGTCGGTGGGGGCCGGCAGGTTGAGGGAGCCATTGAAGTCGGAGGTCTTGCCGTCGAGCCGCCCCAGCAGCACTCCCCACCCGGGCCCACCTGACTGTGACCGACAAAGAGAGATCGATCCATGTCGTCCAAAAATTATTACTTGTACGCTCAATTCAATTATTCATCGATGAGTTGCACTTGTGAACCCTATATGCTATATATCTTAGATATGATGTTTTGTAGTGCATGCAGCATGCATGGTGCACACGACAAGATTGGTTTCAGTACAACAGTGTCGATCGATCGTCGTCTTGTGTGTGTGACACACACACACATATATATATATATATATATGTATATATGTATATATGTATATATATATATATATATGTATATATGTATATATATTTATATATATATATATACTAGAAAAAATACCCGTGCGTTGCAACGGGTGAAGGTTATTTTAAATTTATTATTTTTATATGGTTTAGTTAAGATGAAATTTACCGTGGAAATTCGCTTGGATATATATATATTTAGAAAATCATGAGCTGTAGTTAAGAGTCCGTTCGTCTTAAGTTAGTATACGAGTTTTTTTTAAGAGATTTCTTATACAGCTCATTATGTATCGCCAAAAGTGAACGAACTTAAAACCAACTCAACTACAAATATGTATTTCCACAAGCGATCCTTCTGTATTTCTAATAGCAAATGGACTTAAAAACCGACTCAAATATGGGTATATATTTCCACAAGCGAACGAACTTAAAACCGACTCATACACAGATGACGTATCAAAGTAGCGGCAAAAACATCTTCAATTTTTATAATAGTAGATAGATATATATATATATATATATATATTTATATATATATATATATGTATGTATATGTTGATGCTGATACTTTGTCCTGTCGTAATGTTGTCCATATATATTATACACAAACTGTACATGTATATATAGTAGCTAGCTCTACATGTCTTCCTTTCCTTGGATAATTAAGTGTGGCTTTGTTGTTAGCATGTGTAATAGTTTACAGATAAGGTTGGCGTGAGCCGTAAAATGTAATTAAGATTATCCAATGATATGATGAAATATATATACGGCGGCATACATATGCATGCATGCAAGCACCGACGACGGGCCTGTCAAATCACTGTTGAATGAAAAGGTGGTACGACTGCTAGACAGCACTCCAATTTGTTTCTTCATTATGGTTACTAGACCTGTCTATAGAGTTACTTCCTCCGTCTCAAAATATAAGGGATTTTGTGTAAATATAACACATCCTAGTTTAGTACTATAAATCTGGATAGAGAATGTCTAGATTCTTAGTATTAGGATATATCATATTCATCCAAAATCCTTTATATTTTGAGTTGGAGGAAGGATAGATGCATCTTGCAAGCACTTAATTAATTCGAGAGACACGTACAAACTACCAATAATCATCGATCGGCCCAACCATATCACACACTGTATTGTGCAACCATGCCGCATATTATGATGATATTCCCACGTAGCTAATATGATTGGATACCATCGAATCCATACAATTAAGCATGCATGTTAATCACGTACTTCTGTCTGTAACGAGCTACTATTACGTCCTGTGCTGTAGTTAGTAGTTTTTATTGGGCTCAAGAAATATGTGAAGATATCTAAATTTTACGTTAAAACTTCTACTACCTCAAGATGTTATCTACCCGAGATACTAAGTTTCATACTAGAAAATTATAAGGTAACTCTCAATACTTTTATAATGATGATAAAATTACCATGGTAATAATAAATGAAGTTAATGAAAATTACCAGCTCGACGGAGATCTCGGCGGCGAGGGCGAGGATGTCGGCGCAGGAGACAACGCCGGGGCAGGCGTCCTCGAGCGCGGCCTTGACGTCGTCTACGACGGGGAATCCCCTCGCGGAGTTGTTGTTGGGCGGCGACGTCTTCTCCGACGGCATCCCGGGGACGCTGTCCAGCAGCAGCGACGCGTCGCACCCCTGCACGAAGCAGTCGTGGAAATGGAGCCGGATCAGGCTCGCGAAGATCCGGGCGTCGCTCCGGTGCGCATCGATCAGCACCCGCCGCACGATGTCGTACGCGTCGGGGCACGTGCAGTCGTAGTACTCCTCGCACAGCTGCGCCACCGCCGCGCCGCCGCCGGCGACCAGCGCCACCGCCGCCGCCACCACCACCACCGCCAGAGAGGAAGAAGAAGAAGAAGAAGCCGCCATTGCTAGCTAGCTAGCTGCTACACGACTACTCCTATACGGTCGTGTCGTGTGTGTTCCACGAGCTAACACACAGCGCCTCTCCTGATTTATAGCTGCCCAAGTGTACTGTGTGTTGCCGATCCATTATTTGATCATTTAGCTAGGCAGCTGGGGCAGCTAGCTAGCCAAACTAATTACTCCCTCCTATTCGAAATGTTTGACACCGTTAACTTTTTAGCATATGTTTGACCATTCGTCTTATTCAAAAACTTTTGTGAAATATGTAAAATTATATGCCTACATAAAAATATATTTAACAATGAATCAAATGATAGAAAAAGAATTAATAATTACTTAAATTTTTTGAATAAGACGAACGGTCAAACATGTACTAAAAAGTTAATGGCGTCAAACATTTCGAAACGGAGGGAGTATTACATTTACTCTCATCGTTTTTACTTATTTATTGTTACGCATCAAGTTGCTGTTCGTATTTTTGTGCATCGTTATCGGTTGACATGGTAGAATATGTGAAGGATAAGTATATGTAATCCAAATGGCTTGGCAATAATGCTAGTCTACAGAGTTGTCAAACTTGGTCTCCTCTAGACTGAGACCTGACTATGACCAGATGACTACTTGTGCAGATACTTGCAAATAATACGACATGTATTATTCGTGTGTTGGGTAGTGTACCTACTGGTTTTTTCCTTAATTTGCTTTTCTTTAATTTTAAGAAACTAATAATATATGGATATATGTTAATCTATAGCTAGTGGTACGTGTTGTTTATCTTATCTCCTCTAGACAAGGAGCAGTCCAATTCTTTGCAACGAACATATCACAACCACATGCATTTACTAATATGTTTTTGGGAGTGAACATGATAATATATATGTTTAAGATAAAACTTATTACATCATGCATAGTATTTATGGATAATACCTTTTGGCCCAATCTCACAGCTATAGGTTTAGCTTTGCTTGGACAGGACAATATGCAAGAGGCAGAAAACGTCACTGTCATGTCTTGCAAAGGCCAAGTAAAGCTTCGTTTCTTTTCTAATCATTCCACGGCGGCTATACATTAATTTATAGCTTTGCATGCATGCGTACATGTTAGCTAGCTATGATCGATCACACGTGAAATAATGGAGTTAATTAATCAAAGGGCCATCGTTTGTTCATATTATAGGTACGTACCGTTGTGTTTTAATTTGTACATATATTTCTCGTACCGTATGATACTAGTACAAATAAATGTCTGCTAAAAATCTCTATATTTTTTCCCCTGGTCCGGGAAAGTTATCAAGAAATGCTACTAGTAAATCATTACAATCACGTACAAAACAAGTTTCTATCTGAATCAGTAGAATTGATCATATCACTACTACGAAACACGTTTTTTCCTAACGGCCAAAATACTTCTTTTGCAGGTCAGCGCGCACCCCGCCCCGCCTGCTACCAAAGCCATGTAAAAAATTAATCCACGATCTTCATAGACATGCCATTATCGCTCGTTAAAATCGATTTTCATAGACGGCCAGGTTAAGTCAACCGACTGGGAAAATGATTTTCAATGAAAAAAAAAGGGGAAAAGATTATCCCCCACATCCCATTGCTCTCCGCATGCCGCACCAATTTTCATAGATCAAACAACAAATAAAGCAAAACAGGAAGACCAATTCATCATAATTGAAAATCAAGTTGCTCCATAAAATTTTGTATTCACAAATCCAACCTAAATTCACAAGCAAAAAAGGGAAGCAGCCTATGTGGAGCTGATGTAACAGATGCAGGAATCTCATGGTCACAAGCCATGCATCACCCCCATCGGATCCACTTCCTTCACCACTGCTGGTGGATCATAAGCTCCCAATCACTACCGGCACCATATCCATCTCCTCCACCACCATCCACATCTCCCCTTTGCTGCCGCTGCCATGTGGAACCCCGTTTTTATAACAGGAATCAATCGTGTAAACAGTACCATTTCCCTGGATCAAGTAGTCTGGTACACACGAACTCATAGCTGAAATATCAAGTGCACATACACGAGAGTCTAGTACGAATTATTACATCATAAGCCCGCAGGCACAGTCTTAAATCATCGGACCGAGCGGTCCGGAATACATTTCAAAAACAGAAGTAGGTAAGGCAGCGGAGTTAAGGCAGCGGCACGCCATTGCCACAGGCAACGACCGTAACTAAGACCTACTGAGCGCCATCGTCTTCATCTCCCTCCTGGTAGTAGGCATAGGGATCCTCCGAAGCTTCATCTCCCACTTCTGATTAATTTTATATTTGCAAGGGTGAGTACCAACCGTACTCAGCAAGCCACCACAGCAATGATGCACACGACAGAGGAATTCAAAGGATGGCTATGGTTCTTTTGCGCAAAGCAAGTTTTGTAATTCTTTTCACAAGCCTAAGACCTAGCATAGACTGATCAAGTTTTAATACCAGTGTTCATATTAAACAATGACGGTTCTGTCCACCATCCATTGTGATCCCAAGGATAGCTTCCCGCCATTGGGTCGTTATGGTTTTCTGAGGACGTCCATATTCCCGCCTCTCAAGAAGTGGCTCCATCAGCATAAAAATCATCATGCAATATCCCATCCCACACAAGTTAAAGAATTTAGAGTCTAGCCAAGTGTAATACATGTCCCGGTGCTCAATAACCGCGAGCACGGCTATTCGAATAGATTTGGTTTACTCACACTGCAGTGGATGTACACTTTACCCGCACTCCGCGACTGCCCAACACATGAGCCTCGTCCCAACACATGAGACGCGTCACGGCAAAGCTTTTCGATAACCTCGCATTGGCAGTACCCGCTCCATGAACTTAAATCCTCATGCACTCTAGGCGTCCATGTTTCTAGCAGTGTGAGGAGTTCTGGCGCTCCCAGGAAAGAGAAGTCTCACACATATTAAATTATGGTTTAAGTTAAGTTCTCTCTCATACACTCATGGCAGTCCTACCAATGGCGACACCGATGTAGGGCACGCCTCTCGGCCCTACCTCAACGGCTGTCCCATCGTAGCGCACCTGCCTCACTCAGGGGTGAACCATCTATGCAGGGATACTGCCTCCGCTCGACTATCTAATCCGCTAGGTCTATACCCATTCGAGAAGTACGGTTGTACGGGGGTCGTTTCATGCTTAACTTCATGGCTCGGTCCTTAATTGACCAGGGACGGTACTAGCCTTTCCCAGATACCACCCAAATCCTCCGTCCGCCCCAGTCGAAAACAATTGTTTAATTTTATTTCTCCTTTCACAAATCATGTCATCAACATCATGGCAATGTGGCGCTCATGTCTCCACATGCCGCATCTCAATTACCTTCCCAAAGGTAATTGCCCAATCATATAGCATTTGATAAATATGAGTATGCATGATTCTAGAATGGCATTTCTAAGCAATTGTCATAATTGACTAGGGACTCATACGTAATCATGGTTACAAGGATTTTAAGGGTAAACAATAATCGAGGCATGGCATAATCACAAGTATGATGTTCATCATTGCATGCAATTTTATTTGTAAACAAAACAATTTCGCAATTGGGATCAACATGTTCAAGGAATGGTGATGACTTGCCTTGCTAAAGGTCTTGCGGGTCTTGGCCTTCACCCGGATCCGCGGCTCCCTCGGTTTCTATAATTATGTGCGAAAGAACAATTTGAATTCGATTAGAATTCAAACAAAATCCAAATAAATCCAAATGAAAGTCGAATGCGAAAGTCGATTCCTTTATTTTAACTTTATTATTCGCGAACTAAGGCAAACCCAATTTCGATTCAAACTATTTTGCGGGTATAAATGTTTTGTTGTCATAAGTTTTTAATTTAATCTACCCGAGCATTATATCCATATAATAGGTTAGAGATTTCTATCGCGAGCTAAATATCGGACGAAATCCTAGAAATATTATATGATTTAATTTAGTCTATGACTAAATGATTAAATATAATACACGGCTAAAATCCCTAGTAATTAAATCCGAATTTCTACCGTGAATCGATTACTTATAGGGATTACCCAAAAATAATCTATAATAATCTATAAGAATTCATCTATTTGTTTAGTTATTAATTACATCTAAATTACTACCGCGAATTGATTTCTTATTGAAATTACCAAGAATAATCCATAATTTATATTAAATTTTGCAATTCTACGACTATAATTAATCTATAATTAAATTCTAATTATTTTAAATTTTCTAAACTTCCCTAATCTCCCTCTAATCTCCTATTTATTTCCTTTTCCTTTTTCTCCCTTTCCTTTTTTTTTCTTTCCTTTCTTTTTCTTTTCTTTTTCTCTTTTTCTCTCTTTTCCTTTTCTTTTCTTTCTCTCCTCCCTCCCGGCTTCTTTCTCTCTTCCTCGGCTTCTCCCTTTCTCTCTCTCTCTCGGCTCCCTGCTACCTGGGGCGGCGACGGCGACCGAGCAAGGGGAGGAGGCGGCGGCTTACCAACGGCGGTGGCGGCGACGGCGGCGCGACGACGTCGCACGGCGCACGGTGCGGCGGCACGAAGGCGGCGGTGCGGCGGCGCGAGGGCGGCGCGACGGCGACGGCGGCGCAAGACGGCGACGCACGGCGCGGCGGCTCCGGGGCGACGGCGCGGCGGCTTCGAAGGTGGCGGCGCGGCGGCACGACAACGGCGGCGCGGGGCACGAGGCGGCGACGGGACGCGCGGCGACCGGACGTTGACGGCGGCGGCGACAGCGGCGGCGCGCGGCTCGGGGCGGGACGCGACGGGCGGCGACGCGACGGTAGCGCGGCGCGACGGCGACGGGGCGAGATGACTGGCGAGCGGCGATGGGACGGGCGGACGGCTCGGGGCGCGAGGCAGCGCGGTACGGGGCGCGTCGCGGGGCGACGGGGCGGCGCGCGGCGCAGGGCGCAAGGCCGGCTAGGGCGGCGCAGCAGCGATGGCGACGGCGACAGGCGGCGATGGCGACGTCGGCGCGGCGGCAGGCGACGGCGCGACGGGACGGTGACGGCGACGGCGCGGTAGCGGCGGTGCGGGGCTCAGGGAATGGCCGGGCGCGTGGCAGAGAAGGGTCTAGGGCTAGGGACCAAAATCGAACACCTATGAGGCAA